CAAGGCTGAGGAAGGTGAATTGCCATGAGTTCAAGGCCCGCTTCCACTACATGGCAAAACCCTGTCTCAAAACACACACACACACACACACACACACACACACACACACACACACACACACACTCCAACTAGTAAAAAAATTTCAATTAACTGAATAAAACATACCATTTCTAATTTTGTATTGATCTTATATTAACTATATATCCAGTTTCGTGTTCAGAATAATAGATGTCATTTCTGATGATTCAGGGTAAATCTTAACAGTAATCTTTGTTACACAGAACATACATGTATCAGTGATTGGATTGTACATATATTACCCATTATATGATGGGAAGTTAGCTGTCGATGTGCTAAAATCCCAGGCCAGCTTTGAGTCCAACATTGCTACTTTGTAGTCAAGTACAGAGATGACATAATCTAGTTAATCCAGATAGAAAATTTAATTGAAATTTCCTTATTAAGGGAAACCATATCCTTTCCTGGTTATGACTTACCATTTATCAGTTAATGTGATCACTGGAATGGAAATTAAGTGTTTTCAAATAAATGATGGGCTTATGGTTCCTATACTGAACCTAGCCTGGTCCTGGACAAGGGATTGGGGGCGGGGCTGCTGATATCAGAAGACAAGGTTTAAATTTGTTTTTCTATATAGTCTGTACTGTATTGCAGAATGTTAATTTATTATTTTTTGTTTTTGTTTTTTGAGGCAAGGTCTCACTATGTAGTTGAGACTGACCTGGAACTCACTATGTAGCCCAGGCTGGCCTCGAACTCACAGAGATCCTCCTGCCTCAGCCTCCCAAGTGCTGGGATTACAGGCATGTGCTACCACACTTGGCCCAGAATGTTAGTTTAATGATTATATCTATGTATTCTAAGCTGTATGTTAAGTTTCTATATGTAGAAAGTAAAGACAGAAACTGAGGTAAATGTTCTCGCAGCCACAGCTATGTCACGCACAGCAACAGTGACACCAGAGGTGAGTGATACAGTCTTGTTTCTACCATAGCTTAAGTCAGCTCTATCTGGTGTTCATATTCAGTCTTAACAGAATAGTTCTATTAGTACAGACTTAAAAGAATTTCTTAGAGCTGGGGATTTAGCTCAGCGGTTCGGTGGCCTGCCTCGCAAGTGCAAGGACCCAAGTTCGATCCCTGGTACCAAAAAAAAAAAAAAAAAAGAAACAAAAAGAATCTCTTAGAATTTTTCCATTTAAAAAATTGCAAAATTAGGTGGCATAAAGTTTTTATTTTTTTAAGTCAAATTGTGTGCTTATAAAGAAGTGGTAGGTTATTTGTATATGTCAATATACAGATACATTTAGGATATACATGCAATTAGAATTACATAATTCTAAATTTAATTTCATCTATTCTTCCCTCAACCTTCTAAGAGTGTATACACAATTTTTATAAAATTTAATATAGCTGGGTATTTAGCTCAGGGGTTCCGCCACCTGCCTTGCAAGTGCAAGGTCCCGTGTTCAATCCCTGGTACCAAAAAAAAAAAAAAAAAAAAATCGGTATATAATAGAATGCAAACTTCCAACAGAACTTTATAAGTGCTCCAATAAACTACAAAGGGTACAAAGGGTGTGTGTATGTATTACTAAGACCACCAGTCTAACCTACTCAAGCTGTAGCACACAATAACTTTGTGCCTTTAGAAGGATTTCTGTGAGTAGAACTTAACAGCAAGAATACATCATCTTAACATAGCTTCCTTCGGTAATTACTGAAGTCTCTTTCTCTTTGAAGAAAAAAATGTTGAACAATTAGTTTACTTTTGTAACAAACGTTGCCCAATAAATGACACTTTTTTTTTCACTTCAGCTGCTGTTGAATTGCAGTGAGGTTAAATGTGTAATTATAGTGTTATAACACTTTTAAAACATCATTCGAAATAACTTGGAAAAATAAACTTCAGAGTGGATATCAAATATGTCATACAAAAAGGACTGTACAAAAATCATGGACTTTATTATACATTAAAAAATCTTCTAACAAGGTATTTCCTGAAGACTTGTCAGCAAACATTTTGACAAAATGAAAAAATAAATTCTCTGCCCACATGTATATCATGATCACATAAAGATGAGTTCTTCAAATCCAATTCTAACGGGAAACATCGCATGACTTTTAATTGCACTCTGCATAACAATATCAGTGAAGTAAGAATTATCCAATTCATTTAAATTACAATATCACCCATATACAAAGCAATTTTGCACATTGGTTATAGTTTAATCCCCAGTATTAACTGAAGTGAATTACTTATGAGAACAGAAATTGGTTAAAAAGTACAGTAAGGTTCCAGTTTCAAGCCTTTATGTAATTAATGTAGAATAAAAATCTCATGAAACAGTTAACCAAATTTGTTAAAAATAAAATGAAGAGGTTGCTGTAACTGGTATGTTTAAATATTTAAAGTACAATCCAAACACTAGGAGGCTGTTATCAAAACAACATTAATGTTTTCATTTTATTCAGGTGGTAGGTTTTACAATATACTAACTCTTAAGGTTTGTCAGCACTTATAATAAGATTCAAATTTTAAATACTGTGGCTCCTATATATAATCAAAATTAACTGATGCCTTTACCATACAAGATTGTTACTTTATGTACATTCTACTGTCTTTTTCCCAGAAAAAATAGAAATAATTTTATCCCTCCTCAATTCTTTTGAAATTAAACATAATCATTACAGATATGGCAAAAACTAGACAGTTTAGGGACTCTGTTCTATAGTTGAGCTTTAGTGCCCAGTAAGTTTTCAAAATTCTAAAAGGATGCAGGAATAACTGATTTCCTATTTATAGAATGTTAACCACAGTTACAAAAGTACTGTTCGTATATGTAGCAGAATGCATAGCAAAATTAAGTGGGCTTAATTTCTGCCCTTAAAAAAAAAAAGCAGTTTTGTTGATTTCTAAAAATCATTAAGTGTAAGTTTTGAGTCAGAGAAAAGATATCCCTAAAATCTAATACAATCATCAACAAAGTATCCCAGGTAGAAGGGATTTCACAAGAGAATACAACAGTACAAGATCAGCTTTTACACTAGGAAGAAAGCCATAAGTAACCTTCTATAAACAAAAGGGAGAGCTTATTAAAATTGATGCTTACATATCTGCATATCTTACTATTGTTCATATAGTTTAATAGTACTAGAAGAGAAATTGAACCATCTGAAATTGTTGAATCTACTCATAACTTCTATTTGACATTGGAATGCATTTTAGATTGAGCCAAGGACTTGGATGTATGAGAACTCCTATGAAACCTGACTTAAACCGTCTAGCATCCCCAGGGTGCAAGGATCCTTAACTCCAGCCAGTACTTTGACCCAGAATGCTAAAAAGGACACCACTCTTTTACCATGCAAAGCACCAGCCAACTAAAACCACCTCTTAATGATGACCACCTTGCTTGTGGAGCAACAACTTACATAAAGAAAACACTTAATAGGCCAGGGATTTAGCTCAGTGGTTCCGCCACCTGCCTTGCAAGCTCAAGGACCCACGTTCAATCCCCGGTACCAAAAAAATAAGAAAGAAAAGACTAGATGAAAAAGAAATATTACCAATCTGAAAACAGTCTTAAAAGCAAGACTTGCTGTGACTCATCAAGTACTTACCACAGAAGCAATTTCAACTTCAACAGAAGGAATGACACACTATTGTGGAAGCAACCCGTTAGTAAGCACAAAATGAACTTTAATCAGAGTATTCCATATACTTCTACATGTGTACTACATGTTCAATAACATAAGCCTTCGAAGAGTATTAAATAATCATTATGCCCATTTGGCACACAGGTAAAAAGAATATATGATTCTGTGTGTAATTATCTATTCCATTCCTACAAAAACAGTACATATAGTGTGAAAACAGCTGTTACATTTTAAGAACTAAAAGAGATGCCACTCCTAATTCAGAACCAAAACTATGTATCAAAGAACAAAACGATTTTCCCTTATGAAATTAGCCTAATGAATTGTAGATGTTTATGTAAAATATTTTACTCGATTTCATGTGGAAACTTTTTCATGTGGAAACATGAGCATAATTTCTATCAACTATGTGTAAAATCTGAGTAAAGAAAAAGCAATAAGATCTTGACATAGAAGATAAGCAGCAGAGAGGTGTCATTTTAACCTTAGCACAAGGCTAAAATCTTTCCTTGGTCAACTTCTGTACTATACCAGTCATTCAATTCCTTTTCAGTCTTTCAGGAATTACACCTTTTATTCATTTGAAAAGTAGAAGTATTTACAATAATTAGTGCAAATTATCTTATGCTCATAAATTAGTTATTTGCTTTTTGGATATGTTATTTTTGGATATAAAGTGGTGATTCAGTACTTTATCAAAATGTGGGATTATGAAAATATTGGGAATATCAGTCTGAAATTTAAAAGATTACATTTTCTAAACTAAACTGGGAATTTCACTTTAAGTAGTAACATAATTATTATAGAACTTTTGAAACATCATTTGATTAGCAATAAAAATTATTTCACACAATGCAGAAAATACAATGTATTATCCCGTAACAATAATTTTACATGTAATCTAAAGTGTATTTGCATAACAAAAACTCTTTTAACGAATTCCAAATCTTCTTTTAACCCATTACTGCTCTGCAGCAATAACTGAAGTCCCAACCTGAGAACTAAGAATATGGTAATATAATGCCAAGACCTGTATCAATCTTGAACTGAAGACACTTAAGCTTCTTTCCTCCTGGCATCAGACGCAATATAGCAGAGAAATATGAGTAAGCCCAGAAAGTGCCCAGAACCTACAGTACCATCTGCCACAACTGGAAACCTTACATCTAAAATCTGTCCCAATGGCTTTATACAAATTCTATTGCACATTTAACGTTGTTAAATCATTTGCAAACTTGTAGAAAGGGTTTCAAACTTATTCAACTGAATGCTTCCCCACTATAAGCAAAATGTTCTTAATGAGGAGGGAACTAGCCCAGAAAGTGCCCAGAACCTACAGTACCATCTGCCACAACTGGAAACCTTACATCTAAAATCTGTCCCAATGGCTTTATACAAATTCTATTGCACATTTAACGTTGTTAAATCATTTGCAAACTTGTAGAAAGGGTTTCAAACTTATTCAACTGAATGCTTCCCCACTATAAGCAAAATGTTCCTAATGAAAGGAGGGAACACATCCATGAATATCTGAATCTGCAGAATAAATTATCTCTTATAGGCATGGCCAATACAATGCAAAATTTAAAAACTGGCAATTTAAGGAAAAGAAAGAGCAAAGCTACTAACTCCTTAGCAATGTATTCAGGGAAATAAGCAGTTATGTGAAATTTAATGTTAATGCATATTATATTATTTTTAAGAAAAAAGTCAATGTAAACCTAAGTCATAAAATTCAACCTTTTTTTTTAAATCAACCTTATTTTTTTTAATGAACCTAAAACAAGTAAATATAAATTTTATGTTATTTTCAACATAGTTGTTACCTTGTGCCATTTCACCAAAGAAACTGTCAATTCCAAGGGGAGGGGGAAAACACTCAAAAAGTAAAGATAAGTTTATGCTTCTGACTCTCTCTTCTTTCCTTCTTCTCCCAAATCACTCTCTTCTGACTGGCTACTGCTAAGGACGACAAACTGCCCTTCACTACTGGCTTGGTTTGGTCTACTGGAAGCAGCTATCAACCGACTTTGTTCTTCCAAGTCCTAGTGTGAAAGACAAAAAAGGAACAAAGTTCTTTTTTGCACACCCAAACAGAAAACAGTACAGTTAAATTACATACTTGAGAACCACTTCAATCTGTCAGGACCACTTCAATCTGTCAAAAATATGTACATATAATTTTAGCAATTTGATGAAAAAAAAGGCTTTTTGTCCAACCAATGCAACTCCAAAAAATATTTTGGTACCACTGTAGAAATCTTGTAAGAGCTAACATTCAAACTAAAATCTTGCTAGTCTTTCTGTTTTTCTTTTTTGTGGCCTCCAAATAAATTCAGGCTGTCTTTATCTGTCACTAAACACTACATAAGTAATCTCTCTCCCAGTAAAAACTTCCTAACAGATCACTCCACACCTCGTTACTTCCTCTTCTCTGGACCACTTCTTCATCCTCGTCCAGTTCGTCTTGCTAAAGCAAGGTCACCTGCTCTGTTAAGCCTACTGAGAAGTCTGACTTTAATGTCAACTTTGCCATTTCCCCTTTCTTTGTCCACACATCCAACCCACAACTGACTCTCACTGATCTACTCACTAGGTATCCATCTCTTCTGTTCTAAACCTACTGTCAATGCCACAGCTTATAACAGGCTTTTACAATCTCATAGATCACTTAATCAAGATTCGCTCTGAAAATTAAAGTTATCCTTTTGTGGATTTGTTTCCAAGCACTGAAAAAATTATCCTTTTGGAATGGACAATAAATTGACATTCCTGGGAGTATTATAGACAAACAGATAAATACAGTATTCCCCTTACAAAGCAATATGGCTTTCAGCAATGGCAATTAAATCCATAAACCTCTCAAAAGAACTGCTTTGACAAAGAGAATCCTTACTGGAATATGAAAGTTCTGGTATGTTTGTTTAATAGCAAATCACATTGTACATTACAAGTCAGTATAGCTATTGTGCAAACCCAGGAGAATTCAGATGTTACCCTTTCCTGCTATGCTATCAATCATCTGGCTATAAAGTAGGTGAGTAAGGAGATACAGACCTTTATCTGGGAATTCAAATGTGAAAGTCACAGTACTAAATTTAAGTCTTCACAAACACCACATAGAGGAAGATCATGACATTTGGACTGCATACCTTTTCAATCTGTCTTTGTTTACTGAGTTCTTTCTGTTGCTTCTCTTTTACTCTCTCTATTTCTTTTTGTTTTTCAGATGCCCTACGATCCTAAAGACAGATGAATAAAACTAATGAATTAAATATAAAATAACTAAGTTTTTGACATCTTGATTAGTAGGGCCCTTATAGCTTTTCAATCTTTTCAAAAATATTTATACACAAGAAAGCACAACATTATCACCCTTTGGCAGATATATTTCCAGATTCTAAATGCTGTATCAGCAACAGCACCCACTGTTAACCTTATAATCATTTTATTTACTTGTTAACATTTAAAAAGTTGTATCATACTACTTTGGTTAACATTTTAAAAAAATAAGCATCTCTTGGATTCTTACCAGCTCAGCATGCAAAGCTATCTGTTTTGCCAGTCCAACAGAATCACAAATCTAAAAAGTGAAAAAAATATGAAAATTTCAGTTCTCACATAAAAGCAAAAATCTCAAGTAGCTAAATGACTGATACTTCTAAGTAGCTAAGTGATTCATGCCTATTTGTAATTCAGAGTAATACAATGCTTCAAATAAAAGCTGACTTAAGAATTCTCTACCCTAAAATCAACACTTTCCATTTTCTTCTGAGTCTGTGGCTTCTCTACTGGCTTTCACCTCCTTCATGTACCCTACTTCTCATAGTCTCAAATTTATTACTGAGAAAAGCTCACAAAGAATAATGAAAGCAGCTGCTGATGCTGCTCTAAGCTGATGAAAACTGAAAATGTCTCATTTTTTTGGAAGAAAGGGGTCTGTTGACTCAGAAGACCTAACCCATCAGCTTGGCTCTCTTGACAGCAGCTCAAAAATCTGAGTTTTTTCAAGAAATTATTGTAAAAACTGTGACTATGATATGTATTTCACAACTAGAACATTTTGAAAAGACAGATACCTTCTCCCCTTCATTGTTTGATTCAAATATATAGCAGACTGATGACAGATTACTTTCACTTCTCCCTCCTGATGTCTGCAGTACAAATCCAAAAAGCCTCTTATTTTCCTGGTGTGTAGCATATAACACTACACAGGGCAAAGGAAACTGCCACAAAAAATACAAGAAGTAAATATGACATCTTCCAAATCATTATAGCAGCACACATTCATAACAAACTCTTAAGTTCTAAAAGTATTATAAATAAAATTTTAAAATTCAATTTTCTTAACAAATTGGTAATCTAAGAACAAATATCTTATTTTGGTTTGGATTACCAAGGAGAACAGAGGTTACTGAGTAGTGAATTCATTATGAGTTATTAACACATTTTACAAAATGAAATTCAATAACAAAAATCATCTACTTAGTAAATGATTAAATGTATCAAATTAAATAACAATAGGTAATTATAAAATAATCATGTTCACATTTAAATTTCTCTAATCAATTTCTCATAGTTAGGCTCCTTAACTATGGGGTAAACACCTAGTATTAAAACAGAGCATACCGATTCTTTTAAGGCACATGGAAAGTTCAACTGTAATTTTTGGAGATGGCCAGACATTTACCTATAATGCCCTAAAGATCAATCACAATTGATACTATCATAGCTGAACATACAGGATCAGGATTTTTATCACGTTAGAAGGTGTGTATACGCACAAAGGGACTTAAACGTTAATTATGTCAAACTCACCGTAAGCCTTGTAACTTGTGTCTGTGGATCAATTAACCTATAATAAAAATTTAAAATTTGGAAAACAAACTTTAATTAAGTTGAAATTATGTAAATATTCTTTTCCTACCAGTTTTTTTTGGGGGGGTTACTTACTTTAAACAGTCGCAAGTAACTAATAAATGTGATTCTGTCATACGAAAGATATTATGGATGGCCCGAGCAGCTAAGATTTGGCGCATTGTTTCATAAACAACATCTGGATGGTCATCTGATTTCACCTCCATGGAACCAAGGAATCGGACAATAAATAACTGATGAAGAATAGAATCTATAATAAAATAAGGTAATTATGCATTTATAAACCCATGTCTTTTCCAAAAGAATAAAACTAATTCCTTTTAGATTTTCAGTGAAAAATTCAACTTTGAAGACTACAGTGTTCAAGTTATAGGAAAATTAATGTCTCAAATTTGCATAGCAAAAAAAAAAAAAGGTTAGGGTAACATTCAACAATGTGGTTCTGGGTAAAAAGAATTCCTTGTATTATTCCTTTTTTTTTCTTTTGGTACCGGAGATTGAACTCAGGACCTTGCGCTTGCAAGGCAGGTACCTTGTATTATTCTTATAGCTTTTCTATAAGCTTGGAATTATATATTTTAAAAAGTAGCTACTGGAAAATCTAAAAAGTTAGACCTCAGGACCAGAAATGAAATATCTGCTGCTGGAAAAAGCTTACAGGATAGCTTACACTTAAGAATTTGACTATGAAGTCAGAGTACATGACATTACACAATGTGTAAATAATGCTGTCTGTTGCTTTAAGTGAACTCTAGATAGATAAAATTTTGAAGTAAAAACAATTTAAAACTGAGCACAGCAGCGAAGATATAAATGACAAATTCTTCACAGTTTACTACTGAAAAGTAGTTCTAAAATACAGAAATACTGTATATCTGTTCTACCTTCAGTTTCAGATTTTGTACTTCCTCCAGATTCTCCAAATGGATTTGTACGCCTGAAAAAAAAAAAAAAACGAATAAGTGGTCAGTTACCGTAAACCACATAATCACTGAAACTAGAGTTAAAAATCTAAGAATCATAAAACTTTGTACATGTATCTTAAAAAGAAAAGCTCAAATGTCCTATCCTGTTATGGAATAATACTGATGACCACACTACTGTGATATAACCTCTGCCCTCTCACACTAATTAATAGGCTAAACCTAGTGTTGCTGCGTTTTGGAAGTCAGAGAGGGACTGGAAGTTTGGCCACACACTGCAAATGTCATAATAAAACATCTTGCAAAAGTTGTCTAATTTAAATAAACTAATAGAGGAACATTGATTTAGCTATAAACTTAGCTGCTTGAGAAAAATATCAGCTTCTTTCAGGTTCTCTAAGTACATGTTGTCAGTTAAATATGATTTTAATATTTTCTACTTTTGTTCTACAGAACATTTGCCTAGCATATGTCCGAGGCTCTGGGTTCAATCCCAAACACTGCCAAAAAACAAAAACAAAACAAAACAAAACAAAGCTCTATTTCTCAAAGTGTAAGTAATAGTGCAAGAAGAAAAATAAAAAGACGCTACCACTCCTTAGTGTGCTTGGCTTATGGCATACTCACAATGAAGAAAAATACAATTCAAAGTAGATTTTGGAAGCAGAAAGCTACATTGTTCTAAAATAATATTAGCACTAAGATAATAGGAAATTGATCTCTTTAATATATGCCTGACATCATACAGCAAATGTTGAGCATATTTCTGTGATCAAATATAAATGATTTTTGGTAGGTCACAGCCATGAATATCCAAGTTAGTTTATCAAACGTATTAAGTCCCCAACCTACTTAATAAATAATTTGGCCCTAAGTCACATTTCCTTCATCTATAGTCAAAGAAAAAATTTAACTTCTTTTATAAAAATATTCCCTATACAAACAAAAGATGACTTATTAATTCATAGCAGTGATGTTTTAGTAACTTCCTAAACTTTTTCTAATATATTTTCTAATAAACTTATAGCACATGCATTACCCTTAAGATATTTCAAAATCTTGACTGAAAGATCAACTTTCTTCTGCAAGTGTCAGAGCAGACGTCCAAGAAGTAGACCTGATAAGCTATTCAGAATGAAGTAGTTTTGGAATTAGATTATCTTAACTTCTTTAAATGAATGAAGCAGTAGACAGAAAAAGGTGTATGATTCTTCCTCACTATTAAAATTGTTAGTTAATTAAACAAAGTACGGTGTCTTTGTTGCACATGGAATGTTAGCGATGATTCAAATGTAGAAAGAGAATCATAACCTTACAAAGCATAGCACAATGTCCCATAATGCCATTACCTACCTGCTTCCCTGGCCAGAGGCTTTTGCCTGACCAGGCTGATCTTCACACACAGGGGAAATGATGTCAAACTGTATTGGTGTGTCTGGGGCAACAAGAGAATCTAAAGAGAGGGCAGCCAAATTGGTGGACTCAGATCCTAAGGATCCTGAACTGCTAGTTCGAGCTGTTGGTGGCCGAGATGGTCTAAACACATAAACACACAAAAAAAAAAAAAAAAAAAAAAAAAATCAGAAGGCAGAGCATTTGGTTTTCTCTTTTGGAAATCATGCAATAAACTAAAAAAAGAAAACAGTGTTTTAAGCCAAGGAGAGTACAGCAAATTTTAATAAAAACACAATCCCAAATCATAGCTATTTAACAACAGATGTCTTTCTTTCCAGTTAAACTTAAAAACATAAATCACCTCCATCTAGAGATTTAATTGGAAACACTAGGGAAACTGAAATCATTTAATTAGCACCCATACTGGTAAATTTATTATTTTGAAAATACATCTTCTCTGATGTTCAATACCTGTTAGAACTAATATCAGTGCTGCTAAAATCAAAGTGCTCACTAACATTTCTAATAGCCCATATAGTTCTTTTGTTTTTGGTACTGGGGATCAAACTTGGGACCTTGCACTTGCAAGGCAGGCGGTGGCACCACTGAGCTAAATCCCGGGCCCCATATAGTTCTTTAAATAACAGTCTGTGAACTCACCCTGCGGGCCGCAGGCTCTCATGTCTTTGCTGGAAAGATGGGGAAGGAGTGACAGCTTCCAGAGCTGACTGATTTACTCGTGCAGCAGTTTCCTATTTTGATTTTGTTTTTAAAGAACACATATTAGTAATATAAGAAACCAAAAAACTGGAGTACAATTTTCTGAAATGTCATAATGCTTTTGAGTTATGCTTAAAGTACCAACTAAAGCTATTAAAGTAGCTTTATATTCTCTCTCTTTTTTTTTTTTTTGGTACCCGGGATTGACTTCGGAACCTTGTGCTTTTTTCAAGGCAGGTGGTGGCACCACTGAAGAAAGATCCCTGGCCTTCTTGTCTTTTTTAGGTACATAATTTCACATTATAAATTTAAATTTCAGCCAGGCATGGTGGCGCATGCCTCTAATCCCAGCACTTGGGAAGCTGAGGCAGGAGGACAGCTGCAAGTTCCAGGCCAGCCTGGGGTACATATAGTGAGTTCAAGGTCAGCCTGGACTACATAACAAGACCCTGTCTCAAAAATCAAAAAGTAGGGCCAGGGATTTAGCTCAGTGGTTCTGCTGCCTGCCTCCCAAGTGCAAGGACCTGAGTTTGATCCCCAGTAACAACAACAACAAAAACATATAAATAAATAAACTTATTTAAATTTCCTCTTACTTCCTGTTAATCTAGAAAAATATAATAGAAAAATAATTTTTCCTATAAACTTTTAACTACCAGATATTTTGTGTTTTTTTTAATTTAAATTGAATTTATTGGTATATTCTAGGTAGACAGTACAGTTACATTCATTACTGGGATCTTGTACCTTTACATGCCAGGTCTTTGTTCTCATTTTTTCCCCTTGTTCCCACCTTCCCTTCACCCCCTCCGCCCCTCCCCACCTTCAAATACTTTAATTCCATTTTTATATTTTCTCATATTTTTTTCCTTTTCCCTTATTCCCCCTTCCCTATCCTTCTCACTGTCCCTACACCTTTGGTCCTTTTCTTCCTATTTCACGTTGCTAATTGTCCCGGGTTGTTTTTTTGAGACAGGGTCTCACTTCATAGTTCAGTCTGGTCTTGAACTCAGTATGTAGCCTAGGCTGGCCTCAAACTCACAGCGATCCTCCTACCTCTCGAGTGCTGGAGATACAGGCATATGCCAGTGCCTACATTACCATGCCTGGCTACTGCCAGATATTCTGAACTAAGCCCTTATTACTAGCACCAAGTACAGTGCCTGGCACCATGACATTCAATACATTTGTTTAATAAAGAAATTTAGGAGTAGGAAATATTCACAAAATATAAAAGCTGTATTTTATAACTTTGCTGGTAAATTTTTCATGATTTTCCAGAATATATTTTATGCTCAAAAATATCTATACATTAATTTATAAAATGATCATTTTCAAAACTTTAAGGTTTTTCATATAAAATAATTTTAGACTTACTGTCTCAATTGTATAACAGCCAAAAAATGGCATTTTTATTAAAGATCTATTTCAATGTACACAGTTAACACTATCCCATACAACCTAAAATTGATAAATTTTGTAATTTTTTGCAATTTTAAAAAATGGTCTTTAAATTAGAAAAAAAACACAACAGTTGTACATCTCTGTCTTGGTTAGCAAAAATATCAATATAATGCCACAAACTTATTAAAATTTCCATTTTTGTTAATACAGCCATTATAATCCTAAAAACCGGAAAATACTAACAGTTTTGACAATTGGTAGGAAAGAACTATAGGTGTATATTAAAATGTAAACATTGTATTCCTTAGGTATTACCTAGGCAATAAAAAAAATGTGTGTTTTTGGCTGAGGATTTAGCTCAATGGTTCTGCTGCCTACCTTGGAAGCGCAAGGTCCCAAAGTTCTATCCTTGGTACCAAAAAAACAAAAACAAAATGTGTTTTAATTTTATTTTTTGTTGCTCTCAGGTGATCTCACAAAAGAAAAAAGTAGATTGACAGAAAGGAGATCAACTCACTTAAGCAAAAAATGTTTATACCATTAACACTGATTTTTTAATATTAAAGTCAAGTTTATTATAAAACTAAAAAATTACTAATATTTTGGAGAGCATAAACTAGATATGGTGGCACACACCTTGAATCTCAGCACTCAGGCTGAAGCAGGAGGATTGCAAATTCAAACCTAGCCTAAGCCACTTAGAGCCTGTTTCAAAATAACAAAGGGCTTCGGATATAGTTCAGTGCAAAGGCCCTGGGTTCAATCACCAAAACATACAAAAATAAAAAATAGTATTTTGGAGGTCATGAGATTTTGTTCAAACTTCTTCCTGAGCATGTATGCATCCTGGCTGGCACATCAGAACCATTTTGATAAAAACAAACTCCTTTTCCAAGTTGTTCTTCTCTTCACTTGGGTTTAAAACCTGGAAGACATCTTTACCTTACTCATCTCCTTCATCTTTTACATCAATCAGTTACCAGTTCTAATCCTAGGGCCATGTTTTTTCCCCTTGGGTTTAAAACCTGGAAGACATCTTTATCTTACTCATCTCCTTCATCTTTTACATCAATCAGTTACCAGTTCTAATCCTAGGGCCATATTTTTTCCCAACTACATACTCTTCAGTATGGACACACCTGACTCCTTCTATGGTAGCCGGCACCCCTGGGCTCTACCTGCTGTGTTGACTGTCCCAATGGCTACAACTACACTGAAGGATTCATCAGGTTTGATAATCTTGCTAACCAAATAAAAATTTGCAAAACTAGGAGTTCAGGCTACATTAAAATGCATATTTATTTTAACAAAATCCCCAGGTTATTTGTAAGTACCTTTCAGTATTCTATTATTCTTCATTAACAACCTCCAACTATACTACTAGTTAAAAAAAAAAAAAAAAAAATCTCTAAACCAGGCCTGGTGATACATGCCTGTAATCCCAGAACTTGGGAGGCTGAGGCATGAGATCACTGAGTTCAAGTCCAGCCTGTCTCAAAACAAACAAACAAACAAAACTCTGCATATGTGTTGTTGTTATCTGCCATCTTTTCTTTTGCTCTAAATGCAAATGTTAAGACTTCCAACATCTCCACAGAACTTTCTCTAAAGCTCACATCCATGCTTATGTTAACAGTTTCAAAATATAATCTTCCTGTCATTACCACATGGTTTTGAGCACATCCTGTTTTATTTTTTTAATTTTTAAAATTTTTTTGGTACTGGGGATCAAACTTGGGTCGTTGTGCTTGCAAGGCAGGCGCCAGACCACTGAGCTAAATCCCCGGCCCACATCCTGTTTTATTGAGCCTAGGGCCTTCACACTGAGCTATACATCCCCAGCCCTTTGTATTTCTTATTTTGAGAAAGGTTCTCACTAAGTCACTAAGTTGCTCAAGCGAAAGACGTGAACTTGTGATCCTCTTGTCTCAGTCTCCGAGTGTTGAATTACAGGTATGGGCCACAATGTCCAGCAAAAGATTTTTTGTTGTTGTTGTTTTTGTTTTTGGTACCAGGGATGGAACTCGGGTCCTGTGCTTGAGAGGCAGGCAGCGGAACCATTCAGCTAAATCCCCAGCCCAACTAAAGTTTTAATTCCGTCTTACCAATTACAGGAAGCTCCTGGAGGGCAGAGGCCATGGGTTATTTTTCTTCTTCACCTCCCTATTCCACAGTACTCAATTCAGAGCTAAACAGCCAATACCCAGTAAATATTTGTTGACTAAATAATTTTATTGTCTTTTGAAATAATATATTGTTCTAAGAAGATCACTCAGAACATACATGATAAGGCTGGGGATTTAGCTCAGTGGTTCTGCTGCCTGCCTTGTAAACTCAAGGGCCCAAGTTCGATCCCCAGTACCAAAAAACAAAACAAAAAACAGAACATACATGATAAATTAAAAGCTACCTGCTAAAAGTCAAAAGATTACAAAACTTGAGATGTTACAACTCTACTAAAAGCTATGCAAGTCACAGAATTATTCAGTTTGCTAAATCTGGGTAATGCAAGATAAAAATATTACCTCTGGATTTTCACTTAAGTATATTTGCTTAGATATGTTGTTAATTGTACAAATCCACTGCAAGAGAAAAAAACAGAAAAATGTGATTAAAAACATTTTTCAACATTTCTCTTCTGAAGGAGAATGTCCAATACTTAGCTGAAATAGAAGGTTCAGTGGAAGTAACATATAATCTTCACAAGAAAATACCTTGGTGTTGGGGTATAGCTCCAGCTGTAGAGTACAAGCTCAGCATGCTCAAGACCCTGGGTTTAATCTCTAGCACCAAATACAAAACAAAACAAAACAAATGCAAGAAAAGACCTTGCTATTAACGTATGTGTCTAAGAGTGCATTCAGCGGATTATTTTTAAAATCCCAATCTTATTCCATACATTGAAAGTATAGTAATCATGCTAAATTACAATTTAAGAGTCTATACGTATCTTTTTGTATTACTTCTTCTCTTAATTCGCATCAAACAAGACATTCTGAGATAGCAATCCAAAAAAGAGAGAAATATCTAAATAGCTTCCTGGTGAATGTATTTTACATAGCTCTCTTCTCTCAACATAGAAAACATCCTTTCCCCCATATCTTTTGCTTCACATTCAACGATTCCAGTGCCTGACGGGCCTCACCACTAATCTAATTATTTTGTTTGGTAAACCATGCAGAGAGGAGAGGTATTTGTCTGTGTTGTTGAGCAATCTAAAGCAAGTTTTAATAGGAACTCTTTTCCATGAAAAGTAAATAAAGGTAGATCTCTACATAATTTCCAACTTTTCTTCACCAACATAATTATAATACTAGATAAAAAGACTAAAAGTCAAGCTATGGTATATTTTCATGGAAGAATATTTCTCAACACAAAGTATCTGAAATGAAAGTCCTTGGGAGTACCTTACCTTCTACATTTGGTAAATAAAGAGTAAGAATGGAAAGACTGAGACAAAGAACAGAGACTCCCAAATTTTTGTTTTTCTGTCTTTAATTTCCCCAAGGTTTTAAGCTTTAGTTGCTTCCTGCCATGCCACATCTGCTGCCACTACACTCTTGCTGCAGCAAAGTGTCTCAAAGGCTTGGCAAGAGAAAGGAATAAATTAAACTGTTACCGTATTATACCAACAGCAAAACAGAGGCAACAGTCACTGCTGAATTTTTGCCTTTAAGGGAACAGAAATTATCTTTAAGGTCCCTTGAACTATAAAATTCTGTAAGAAACTTACAATGATGTTTGAAAACAAAAAGACTAAAAATCAGATTTATAACTCATTAAGATCTTCCAAAATTTCTCTATTACTAACATTAAGTTTTATCCTCAGAAAAGCATTTTTAAATGTGGTTGAAGAAATTAACAAGATAAAAATCTACCTCTTCATGGTCTTTTTTACTCTCTGCTTGCAAAATTGAAGATCTAAAAAGAAAAAGGAAGAAGTTTCAGTCACAATTTTAAAAACAAAAACACAAAATCAACAATATTTTTTAAAAAAGAAGACTGCCTGAGGCATTAGAACTAAAGCTGTAACAACCCTGACTTTCTCAATGTAGGCTAAGAGGCAGCAATAACAGAAATAGATGCAGGTCCCTTGATGATAGACCATAAAGGTAAACTATGACTGAGACAATGGACTTGAAGTTCCTGGTGCCTGTATCAATTACTTTATTAGAAAATACTAGCTTCATTATTGTTAGTTTCTCCTTTAATACTGTTATAAATCAAAATTTCAATATGGAATCACTAACATTTCAATATTTGGCTTTTCTATAGATGTTCATGTTTTAAGTTACAGAAAAATTAATTTTACTAGTTTAACATACCAGGATGTTACGCATTAGCAAAAACTAAAATTACAAAAATGTAAGTACTGGTAATTAGCATATTCATAATTTGGTAATGTTTATAAATGAACACAGGTACTCCTAACAGCTAGTACAATAACACACCATATTGGCATTCATTATGTTTATAGGAGGAATATGAAATTAAACAATCATTTTGATAAGTTAGTTGGCTATGCTATCTATTTTTAAGGGGTAACGGTTGAATTTATTTATTTTCATAATTTTTTTCTTGTGACAGGGTCTCAGGTTAACCTTAGAATATATTATACTCCTGCCTCAGTCTTCTGAATAGCTCAGATTACAGGCATGTGTTATGAGAAATGCCTCAAAATATCTTAATTTGCATAAATATAGGGGGAAACTTGCTTTTCTGAGAAGCCAGAGGCTGTTCTTAAACATTAAGTTTAAAGGTCAAAATTAACATTTTAATTAAGGGGGAGAATCATAGTTAACCTAAACATTCATTAGGAAAATGTTTAAATTATGATATATTTTTAAAAATACTATAAACCAGCCATTATAAAATGTTAATAAGTGGCTCCAGATCCAAGTTATACATATAATATTTCAATTTTTAAAATACGCTTAGAGCTGGGTGTGCTGGTGCACACCTGTAATCCCAGTTCTCTGGGAGGCTGGGGCAAAAAGATCACAAGTTCCCCATCAGCCTGGGCAATTTAGATCCTGTTATAAAATTTTTAAAAATAAAGGGCTAGGGATGTAGCTCAGTGTGAAGGACCGTGGTTCATTTCCCAACAGCATCCAAAAAAAAAAAAAAAGCGCTTAAGATGAAAAATGGAAGGCAACAAACAAAAGTTAACTATTGTTTTCTGGTTACTCCCCACTCCCCCACCACCTTTTTGTTTTGTTTTGGGTAATGGTGGTCAGGGGATTAAACCCAGGGCTTTCACACTGAGCTACATCCTCAGCCCTTTTTAAATTTTTTTTATTGTGCAGCAGTATCTTGCTAAGCTGCCCAAGCTGGGCTAGAACTTTCAATCTTCCTACCTTTTGCTCCTCAGTAAAGGAATTACATTATGTGCCACCACACCCAGCCACTACTCCTTTTTGTATTTCTCTAGGCTTTTCAAAAATTGTTCCAAATACTACTTTATAGATTTTCACTTAATGAAAAAGTAACAGAGTTTTTAAGGGGCGTCATAAACATTAATGGACAAAATCTGACCAGAGTATTTGATTAATAATACCTATATTATATGCTAAGTATATGCTAGTTGTTTGTTTTTGGTACCAGGGATTGAACTCAGGACCTTGCTCTTTTGAGGTAGGCAACAGCACCACTGAACTTAAATACCCAACCTAGCTGGGTTTTTTTTTTTTTTTGGTTCCGGGAATCAAACTCAGGGACTCATGCTTGCAAGGCAGATGCTGCACTGCTGAGCTTATTCCCAGCCCTAGATTTCTATTCTTCCCAATAATTTAAAAGTAGGAATTACAACCCCCTACCTACATTCTACAGGAAGCAAAACAAAGACTGGAGGGGTTAAGTAACTTGTCCTACCATTGAGTAAGGAAGGAATTTAGTTGAAACTTTATGACCCTACAGTTAACATACTTTCTTCTTAATTTATACTGTTCTGTCCAGGCTATGCAAGATTTCCAGTGACCAGTCTCTTAACATGAAATCACAGATATATTACCATTTCAGCAAGTCAGAAAATTCAACTCATTTCTATAACATCAAGTAATCTTAACCAGGCATGGTGGCACAAGCCTGTGTAATCCCAGCACTCGGGAGGCTGAGGCAGGAGGATCGCTGTGAGTTCGAGACCAGCCTGGACTACATAGTGAGTTCCGGGTCAGTCTCAACTACATACTGAGACCCTGTCACAAAAAAAAACAAAAAAAAAAAATCAAATTATCTTTTTTTTTTTTTTTGGTACCAGGAATGGAACTCGGGACCTTGCGCTTGCAAGGAAGGTGGAGGAACCACTGAGCTAAATCCCTGGCCCAAAAATCAATTAATATACAGTGAATCTAAAATGTCTATAATATTTCTGCACAAAAGGAATTACCCTGCATTTCAGTAATTTAAAATATTAGAGATTTTACTAATAGTAGAAAAAAATACTAACTTTTTTCCATCGAAAGAAGTGATCTGAAAACAGTATCGCCTGTCTTCACAGTCCACAGCCATCACTGAGCAATTGTCTATGTCCATGGCCAGGCCTCCTGCTACATCTCCACGGGCTTGGCTCATTAAGTTTCCACCCTGCGTGAAGTAAAACTGTCTATCCCAAGTAGATGACACCAAGCCTGTTTTACTAGACAAGAAAATACATTCACATTTTAATAGTGACACACCTAAAATGACTTAATCAGCTAACCCCAAGAAAATGCATGTTGCAAACAATCAGCTTAAAAAAAAAGACACCAAAATGTCAACAAAAACATCGTTTTTTTAGTGTCTAAATCAATTTGGAAATTATCAAATTGCAGCTGTGTTGTAAAATGAATCATAAAAATTAAGTTATAGTCCAATATTCCAAGGAAATAAATTCAAGATGAAAGATTTTATTTTACTCTTACTTTACCCCTTAACCTCTCTTCAGATGAACACTAAAATCTGGCCTGATGCTATAATTATGTACATTTTAAAGCATATAAATGAAACCTAATAATATTCATGTGGTGATAGATTTAAGCTCAAATTAGTTTCACTTCTTTTATAACTAAATGATGCAACAGGTAGAATTTTACTTTGAAAAGTACTAATATACCTCATTTGTCAACGAGTTCACATAAATACTAGTCCCACTAAAAATTTACTTTAATAAAATCAAAACAACTTGGCTGACAGTATCAATTATATATTATATTCATTTGATATTACAATATATACAATATATGAAAATAATAACAATTTTCTTACTTCCTAGCATTGAGGTATCCAGCCTTTCGCGTTAAATTTCGATTAACAGGAAATTTGGTTGGGTCTGGGTCAGGCATATATAGAGGGTCACTAGCTATTTCCAAATCCTCTATTGTCTGTTGCATAATCTCCACATCACCGTCCATTTCCCTGCGAACGCTAAAACAGAGAACAGATTATTTATTACCAGTCAAACCAACTAAGAATTCCTTAGCAATCAGGTTTGCCTATATATTTGTTTTGTACATATTTTCTTAAAGAGAGAAGTACACAGGTAGTTAAAGTAATATTAAGGTATTTAGATACTTTGAAGGCAATAATAAATCAAAAAATTTATGAAGCCATGCTGAAGGCCACACTCTGAAGACTTTTCAAGCTGCTATGTCCTGTGCCTGTAAAACACAATCATCACAGGGCATGGTAGAGCATGCCTGTAATCTTGGGAGGCTGAGAGAGGATCTCGGAGTTCAAGGCCAGCCTAAACTACCTAGTGAGCTCAAGGCCAGCCTGAGCTACAAAGTAAGACCTTGTCTCAAAAAAAAAATTAAAAAACCAAACAAACCATAAAACATAATCATTCTCTGGGCAGGGGATGGAACAGAGTGTTACAGCAGCTGCCTAGCTGCTTGAGGATCTCTAGCACTGCCAAAAGGGAAAAAAGTTTATGTTCATCTCTCTCCACACCGGTGACTGACAATATCACTGCTCAAATTTTCAAACTCAAGGAGAACACTACTTTCTCCATCTAATCTTTGATGGCTTAGAAAACAAGATTTAGAGATGGAGATTTAGCTCAGTGGTGCCATGCCTGCCTGAAAAGAGCAAGGTCCTGAGTTTGAGCCCCAGTACCAAACAACAACAACAATAACAAAAAAAAAAGAAAAAAAAAGAAAAAAGAAAAAAGAAAGAAAACAAGATTTAGCTAGTAATCTCCCCAGCAAACTCCACATTATACAGTGTAATGGTAATTTCACTTATGGATAATTACTACTATAATTCTATTTTACTTAGACATAAAAGCCCTGAAAAACTGTCATTAAATTTGACACTGTTATGAAATTAAGAGTTTATATTCTAGAGAAAAGCAAATAAAAAGAAAGAAAAAAAAAAAAGCATGCACAAACCACATGAAAAACACTCACAGTAGAGGAAATACTCCCTCAGGAAATTAAATGGAAATATTTTTAAATTTTGGCATTTAACTGTTAACTTATTAACTACACTTCATTTTTCAATCTTAAGGAAAAAATACTTACTTTTGCACACTGGTTCCAATATTAGCTAAAAATTCTTCCAGTTGTTCATTGAGATTTTCAGAACCCATCTTAAAGAAACTTATCTGAGATGAAGGAAGAATGAATATAAACACATACAAAAAAATTACTTAAATATTTAAATAAATCATATAGGCAAACCACCAAGATACATGGTTAAGTAAAAACAACAACAACAAAAAGCTATTCCATCTATTTCATTTGTGTAATAATAGGGTGCAGTCTGCAACTTGTACTGGACACAAAGGCACCAAGGAAACTAGAATTAAATTCTACTGTATATCCTTTTGGACAGAAAACTAATGCAAATGTATGGTAAACAATTTTTAAAACTGGAAATTGTAGAGCATTCAAATAAATCATATACATAAACTATTTCATGTTTAGTACAATGTTTTATATCTGAAGAAAAATAAGTACTCATATCTGAATGCTCACATCTTTAAATTCTTGATTTTTAGAGAACATCATATATTGCTCAAAACTCCATTTTCTAGCTTCGTTCCTGATGCATACATCTTTAGGCATCTGAGGGTTTATCTACCATTTTTAAGTCAGGAACATGAAACAAACTCAAACTTGTTCATTCTCTTTCAGATTGTGCAACAAGAATGAGTTGAAGCTCCAGCAATAGGCAAAACTCTAATTCATTTCGTTTTCTCCCCCCCCCCCGTACTGGGAATCAAACTCAGGACCTTGTATTTCACAGGCAGGGATGACCACTGAGCTAAATCCCTGGCCCTGTAATTCATTCAGTTTTCTGCTTCTATTCCCAGCTGTTTTGACAAGGACAAAATATAATGTAAATGGTTTAATGTACTCTAAAACATTTGAAATTTTTATTTTCAAGGGAAAATGACTCTCCCCAACTTCCTTAAAAATAATACATTGATGACATTTTTAAATTATTTTTTTAGAACTCAGACATAAATGAGGATACTGGCAATAGTTTGTAATATCCTTACATTTAATGTAAATATCAAGCTTGACATCAATTTTTCAGGATAGTTATAATCCAAAATATAGTACAGTATGTACCTGAGCTTGCATGTACCCAAGTAGAGGTTCTAGCAATGCTATTTTCTTCTTGTACTGAAGAGTATTTAATGCACAAAAATAATGCATCATGGTTTGGTGCTGTTTTTTTCTGGAAGTATACACATCTTCTGTCACTTCATACTTTACCTTTGAATGAAAAGATTTTAATACTGTTATGCACTTAATTTTGAATTATCTTCAGTAGTATCTATGGGGAAAAACCTACCAAGGAAAATCCTGTTATCATTACCAGTTGAATATAACTTTTGTTTTGTAATCTATTAAAAATCATTAAACATATTGGCTGGGCTGATTTTCCTGTTTAACTACCAACCACATCATTACTATGATGCATATCTGCCTATCATTAAAGATGTAAATATGGAAGGCAGGGGTAAGGGGTAAGGGGAAAAAAATGAGAATCAAGACTTGTCATATAGAGGTACAAGATCCCAACAATGAATGTAACTGTACTGTATCCCTAAAATGTACCAATAAACTCAATTAAAGCTGAAAAAAAAGATGTAAATATCTAAAATAGGCAAGGCAGAGAAAGTCTGCCACGTGGAAAAAAGGCAGACAGTTGTTAGTTAACTTAGCCATTATTCTTTGACTTCAGTCAGTTTACAGCACATATTCTCCCTCCTAGTTCTCTACCTACCATTTCCGTTTTT